GTGCAGTATAACGGACACTTAATATTATCAGTTACACTCAGCCAATTCGTCCCCAGGTCAGTTCACTTTTGAACTATTGAAATTAGATTAATTTTAGAAACTGTCTTCGTCTGCAGTTTTCAACGAAACATTTGGCGAACCACTTAACGTCTAAGTAAACGCAAGTGAAGAACTGAAGCTAATTTTACAGAAACTGCGTCTCCTTACAAATGATCGCATTCATGTTCAGATCTTTAATCGAAAGGTACTTAGATTGCAAATAACCACAGGCAAGGGCATGATGTTGTCCATACAAAAGAGCATCTCATATCCAGTCATGTACATTTAATAAAAGCTTTACCTTTGTAAGACAACCATTGCTTGTGTTATCTTACTTAGGAGATTACAAGCTGTATACACTATTAAAACGAAGTAAGTCTAGGACGTTATGTATTTATATATATATATTCATTCGTGAAACAAATTAAGGGGTATAACTCAACTCTGGCTATGTAAGGGAAGTCAGTTATAAAATATTTGACCAAAAACAAGTTTTATAATATTTATTATACATGTATTAGGAACTGTACTTGTCTCAGCGTCTTTAAATAGCCGTGTGGAAAACAGCGAGCTGAATAACAATATTAATGATTGCAAAATACCAAAAAATGATTCAATCTCTGATATGGGTGAATTAGTAAACTACACTGACTTTAAACAAGTTGTATGTTTTGAAAAGAAATTTTGCATACTCTTACGGAAAATTATCACAAAAAGAGGGAAAGACAAAAATAGAATAGTTTACCGAGAAGTAAATAGGAATATCATTTAAGATTTTATACGGAGGTTAATGGGCAACAAAAATGGCGAATAAAGTCATAAAAGTTAGAAAATGTATTTTCAGCTTCCTCTTGCTAATATAAATGACCTTTGATTCAAATCTTTTCAATATCATTTAATCTATACAATTACTAGCCTCGTGTAAATTAAGCTTGTTGAAACCAAATTGGTCCAAACTCTAGTAATATGACGGCAACCCATTCACTGAATCTTATGCATCTAAACATTAGAAGTATACGAAACAAAATAGGCTATATTGAAGCATTGACCGATGATGTCGACATTCATTGTATAACCGAAACTCATTTGGATCCTTTTAGTACTAATGAAGAAATTAAGCTACATGGCTTTAGTGTCAAACCGTTTCGAAAAGACAGGAATATGTTCGGAGGGGGTGTATTGTTATACTATTCTCCATCCCTCGTAGTTAAAAGAAAACCTGAGTTAGAATTTGCTAATGACGAAGAAATATGGGTACAAGTTTATTTAAATAATATGGCACATATAATAGGTAATCTATACAGACCAACTAATCTAAACTATTTTGACGGTATATGGCAGAGACTTAAACATTCCCTCGACCTGACATTCGATATTACAGATAATGCCATTTTGATGGGCGATCTAAATGTTGACTTTTAAAAATCCTCCAGAGACGAATTATTCAACTTACTCACTTTGTACCAGATGTCAAATATTATAACCGAACCTACCAGAATAACAGCAACGTTATTAGATCCAGTAGTTGTCAATAACACAATCAACCCTTATTTTCAGTGAAGTAATTAACATAGATGCAAATATAAGTGACCACAATGCTGTTTTTAAAATAATTGAAGTACCGAATCAAACCCCAACAGTTTTCGAACGAAAATACGGTATGGTTATATGACAAAACAGACATCGAAAAGCTTAAACGTTTTATCACAAATATATCATGGGGAAACCAATTTGATATGTTTAATGACGTTAATGACATGTGTGATTTTCTGACAACTACATACCATCTAAATATGTGCAGATTAGACAACATGACAAACCCTGGTTCAATAACATTGTCAGAAGACAAATACGTAATAAAGATCGATTAAAAAAGATACTTATAAAAAATAATAATGATTATAATAGGATGAAATATGAGCAATCAATAAATAAAACAAATAATATGATAAAACGAGCAAAATAACTTTTCTACGAAAATATCGACTCTATCATAGTCAAAAATAAATCTAACCCCAAAACATACTGGAAATTGTTAAGGCTTGTACTGAAAGGAAGCAAAACTACTGATATATCACCATTTTTGATGACAATGCTAACGAGTTCACGAATGAAAATAACCATAAACGTGAACTTATTAATAACTATTTTTCTTCAATATCAAGTCATTCAGAAGGAGACCAATACAAACCTATTCCCATTTTAGAAAAACGAACAGACTCTCTTTTGTCCGCAATTCATATCTCACCTTCTGGATAGTTGAAATTATTAACATACTAGATGTAAATTAGGCAACAGGGCCTGACGGAATCAGTCATCGTATGTTAAAACTTGTAGCAAATGAAATTTCCATTCCCCTTTCCCTCATTTTTAATCACTCCCTATTCAATGGTATATCTCCCGATAAATGGAAATTAGCAAACGTCATGCCGATCTTTAAGTCTGGCGACGCTCATTCTGTTTCGAATTATAGACCAATATCATTATTAAGCTGTGTTGGAAAAACTTTTGAACGTGTAGTCTATAAACATATTTATAACTTTTTTAACTCTAATAATCTTATTTACAAACTTCAGTCTGGACTCTTACCCAATCATTCTTGTACGCATCAACTCATTGAAATGTACCATTATATGATGTTAACATTAGAAAACCATGAACATATAGCTTTTATTTTTTGTGGCATAGAGAGTTTATATACAAACTTCATCATGGTATTTCAGAAGTCTTCTTAATTGGATAACAAACTATCTTTTTGAGCGTAAGCAATCCGTTTTTATTCATGATTTAATAAATATAAAAGCCGGTGTTCCCCAAGGTTCAGTGTTAGGCCCTTTATTCTTCTTGATTAATATTAACGACATTTCAACCGAACTCTCCTCATTATCTCGTCTTTTTGCTGACGATACGTCGCTTTCATACTCATCACCAAACCTAGAAAATGTTGTAAGTGAAGTAAATAAAGACCTAAAAACTGTAGAGAAATGGTCTTAAAATTGGCTGATGTCCTTCAATCCTATTTAGAGCAAATATATCTAATACAGCTGAATGTGCATGTGGTAATCCATGTGAAGACCTTGTCACTTCATCTGTGTCTGTCCCCTATACACCCAGCATCGAAATCTATTAATAAGAGAGCTACAACCTTTTCGTAATGATTTAATTTTAAACTTGCTCAAGTCTGTCCAAACTTATATCAGCAAATGCAACCGGTTTGGCTGAATGTGATCATCTTTCTCTATCACTCTTTTTTCTTCGACTCTACCTGTGTTACTATCCTTTACTTCGTTTCTCTATCCGCCTTTTCGTCCTCTCTATTTTCTAATTCCATATAAAAACATAATTTATATATATTGCGTAAATTACCTTATCAAGTTATTGTTTATATTCATGTATTTGAAGAAAAGGACTGTGATAAGTTGTGAAAACTTGTGTCCAATTCTTTTGTAAAAAATTATTTGCAATAAAATATGTTTAAATCAAAACCAAATTGGTAGTTTCTGTATGGAAATAGAGAATTTCGTTGATCTGTGAGGCCTCTCTCACGCATTCTGTGTATGAATATACGTAAACAAATGAGAACAGTTGTAATATTGAAAATTGTCATTTATGTCCAGAAAACGGTATGACAGTTTTACCTTATGTGTCCACATTAGAATGAAATATACTCGTATAGAGAAACAAAAACAAAAACAAACAAAAAAACAGAAAAAGTTTCAACGCTTTCGTAGTATACACAAATTGCATATGTATGTGCGTATTGCAGAGTTATCTTCTCTTGTGAGCAGGTATTGATTGGTACGTCATTGGTTTGTGAGAGTAACGTCATCAATTTTTGAGAAAACGACGTAATTTTCTCACACAAACCAATGACGTAACAATCAATCCCTGCTCACAAGAGAAGATAACTCTGCAATACGCAAAGACGGAATAGTCAAGAACAGAAAAAAGAGTACAATTAATGTAATAACTACAACACTGGAACTAGATTAAATATCGGATGATCATACAAAATATTTGTGCATATAAATAGAAATATGCCTAGAATTCTTTTGAGGAAAAAAACAATATAAATGATCCCTGCTGACATTACAATGTCCATGTAATAAGTACATGTAGTACAGATGTGGCTTCAATGTAGGCAGACTACCTTCTTACTGTTACTCTACAGGACGATATCACACAGAAAATATCCCCGGGTTTTACGATAATGTTTTGGACGTGTCGGAGATATTTTTCTTCCATCTACGTTATTGATGAAGAGTTGTTACATACTCTAAAGTGTTCGATTTAGGTGTTAACAAATATCTATGTTCATTAATTTAAAAGATCAATATATACTCATATGGTAGTGGAGGATTATCGTTACATAGGGAAAAGGATAAAAAATATTTTAAACACTTTTTCCAACGTTATCATTTATAATTAACTTATACATGTAGGTTTACAAGATTTCCGTTTGTAACTTTGACAAAGTGAACGAACATTGTTTCCTTTTTTTCGATTCCAGCGCTTTGCTTTTCGTATCCACTATCAGTCCAAATATTTTTCTTTGATAATGCGTCACTGCTGTATAAGTTTATTATCTATCTTCTACTTTATTATAACAGACTGATGTCAATTTATATCCTAGATTTTAAAATTGAACAAACCGATGTTTATTTTTCACAAATAACATGAATATACTTAAAGAATCATTTTAATCATAATTTCGCAATTTTTATAGCTTGAGGTTCAGTTCTATTGCAGATATTTGTTTTCAAACTTGACCACAGGCTACTTTATAGTGATCTCATGGAGTCATATATACGAGTACTCCATTTCCGGCTAATTCCCTTTCGCTAACAGGACAATACATAGCTCTTGTAGATAATGGCACATGGCCTAAGGACATACTATAGCTTTACACAATATCTAGATGTCTATACATATAGATACGCCATAATACATTCTACCGGCATGCTGTCTATACGTATGTGTTAAACATTTGACAAAGAAAACGAAAGTACTGACATCGCCAATGGAGGACCACCTCAGCGCCGCCAACAACAGGATCATCATCGGTCTTGTGATCCTTGCTGTGGAACTAATTCTTGTGATTTTTGTATCGCTCGCGCCGGAATCAATGGATTTGTCGGTTGAGCAGGCTATCAAAGCTGGCATAGAGGAGGAAGTCCAATTGGTTGGTCCGTGTGAGCAGGGAGTCAACTGCCGTCTGCCAGATTGTTTCTGCAGTACATTCGAACACCACATGAGCAGACGAGATATCCCTCAGATGGTGTATTTTGCATTTGATGACGGTATGACAGCTGAAGCAGCCCGACATTATCGACGATTGTTCAGAACTGGACGCAGAAACCCAAACGGTTGTCCCATTTCTGCCACCTTGTTCGTAACTGACAAGTTCACGGATTATGGCGCGCTAGGAGATCTTTATAGGCACGGCTTCGAGCTGGCTGTACACAGTGTAACACATAAAACGCTCAAAACTGGAGAAGAGGTCAGGAAGGAGGCGGTAGCGGAACGGGATAACATCGTTAGACTTTCCGGTATTAATCCAAAAGAAGTAGTTGGCTGGCGAAGCCCTAGCCTCATATCAGCCGGGGACGAACAGGACAGTGTCCTAAAAGAACTTGGATTCACGTATGACATTTCGTTAACATATACGAGGTCACATATGAATGAAAGTGAACCATGGCCTTTCACACTGGACTTTTCCTGGCCGTTCCGATGCCATATTCCTTCCTGCCCGAACCAAACACACAGGGGTTTGTGGGAAGTTCCTGTTAATTCTATGAGAGACTACAGAGATGAATTTTCGTGCGTCTATGTTGACGGATGTGTCAACAGACCGCATAATGTGGAGGAAGCATACAATTACATTATGTACAACTTCCGGGACAATTACTATGGAAACCGAGCTCCTTTCGGATTCAACATGCACTACGCGTGGTTGTTAGTCCCTGAAAATATGAAAGCCATGGACATGGCTATTCGCGATATGTTGAAACATGATGACGTATACATTGAAAACGTTAAAAATGTTATCGAATGGATGAAGAAACCGACAGCGCTCGTGAACATTTCTAGTTTCGAACCATGGACTTGTTCGTAGGTGATGCTATATGCTTTTGTAAAAGTCATTTGGAATAGCAGTCACTATGCTAGATACGTAGATATATAATGCTGGCTGAATATATTATATACCAAATTCCGTTCAACCATTGCTAAGTCAGATATCCCATTCGTATAATGTCTACATATGGTATAAATGAAGTCCTTTGAAATAAAGTCCAAAAATTGTATAGCCTGTATGTATCTCGTTCTTAAAATATCTATATATCTTAACAATGTATCTCGTTCTTATAATATCTATATATCACACCTATATGTTTCCCTTTCTGATAATGTCTATACATCGTATCTCTGTATCTGTTTCTGATAATGTCTATACATCGTATCTCTGTATCCGTTTCAGATAATTTCTAGATATCGTATCTATGTATCCCGTTCTTATAATGTCTAGATATCGTATCTATGTATCCCGTTCTTATAATGTCTATACATCGTATCTCTGTATCCGTTTCTGATAATTTCTAGATATCGTATATATGTATCCCAGTATTATAATGTCTTGATATCGTATCTATGTATCCTGTTCTTATAATGTCTAGATATCGTGTCTCTGTATTCCGTTCCTATAATATCTAGATATCGTACCTATGTATCCCGTTCTTATAATGTCTAGATATCGTTTCTATGTATCCCGTTCTTATAATGTCAAGATATCGTATCTATGGCTCCCGTTCTTATAATCTCTAGATATAATCTATGGCTCCCGTTCTTATAATGTCTAGATATCGTTTGTATGTATCCCGTTCTTATAATGTCTAGATATAATCTATGGCTCCTGTTCTTATAATGTCTAGATATCGTACCTATGTATACCGTTCTTATAATGTCTAGATATCGTACCTATGTATACCGTTCTTATAATGTCTAGATATCGTTTGTATGTATCCCGTTCTTATAATGTCTAGATATTGTATGGACGTATCCCGTTCTTATAATGTCTAGATATTGTATGGATGTATCCCGTCCTTATAATGTCTAGATATAATCTATGACCCCCGTTCTTATAATGTAAAGATATCGTATCTTTTCATCCCGTTCTTATAATGTCTAGATATACTCTATGGCTCCCGTTCTTATAATGTCTAGATATACTCTATGGCTCCCGTTCTTATAATGTCTAGATATAATCCTTATAATGTCTAGATATCGTATCTCTGTATTCCGTTCCTATAATGTCTAGATATCGTACCTATGTATACCGTTCTTATAATGTCTAGATATCGTATCTATGGCTCCCGTCCTTATAATGTCTAGATATAATCTATGGCTCCCGTTCTTATAATGTCTAGATATACTCTATGGCTCCCGTTCTTATAATGTCTAGATATACTCTATGGCTCCCGTTCTTATAATGTCTAGATATAATCCTTATAATGTCTAGATATCGTATCTCTGTATTCCGTTCCTATAATGTCTAGATATCGTACCTATGTATACCGTTCTTATAATGTCTAGATATCGTTTCTATGTATCCCGTCCTTATAATGTCTAGATATAATCTATGACCCCCGTTCTTATAATGTAAAGATATCGTATCTATTTATCCCGTTCTTATAATGTCTAGATATCGTATCTATGGCTCCCGTCCTTATAATGTCTAGATATAATCTATGACCCCCGTTCTTATAATGTAAAGATATCGTATCTATTCATCCCGTTCTTATAATGTCTAGATATACTCTATGGCTCCCGTTCTTATAATGTCTAGATATTGTATGGACGTATCCCGTTCTTATAATGTCTAGATATAATCCTTATAATGTCTAGATATCGTATCTATGGCTCCCGTCCTTATAATGTCTAGATATAATCTATGACCCCCGTTCTTATAATGTAAAGATATCGTATCTATTCATCCCGTTCTTATAATGTCTAGATATTGTATGCATGTATCCCGTTCTTATAATGTCTAGGTATAATCTATGGCTCCCGTTCTTATAATGTCTAGATATCGTTTGTATGTATCCCGTTCTTATAATGTCTAGGTATAATCTATGGCTCCCGTTCTTATAATGTCTAGATATAATCTATGACCCCCGTTCTTATAATGTAAAGATATCGTATCTTTTCATCCCGTTCTTATAATGTCTAGATATAATCCTTATAATGTCTAGATATCGTATCTCTGTATTCCGTTCCTATAATGTCTAGATATCGTATCTCTGTATTCCGTTCCTATAATGTCTAGATATCGTACCTATGTATACCGTTCTTATAATGTCTAGATATCGTACCTATGTATCCCGTTCTTAGAATGTCTAGATATAATCTATGGCTCCTGTTCTTATAATGTCTAGATATCGTATCTCTGTATTCCGTTCCTATAATGTCTAGATATCGTATCTCTGTATTCCGTTCCTATAATGTCTAGATATCGTATCTCTGTATTCCGTTCCTATAATGTCTAGATATCGTATCTCTGTATTCCGTTCCTATAATGTCTAGATATCGTATCTCTGTATTCCGTTCCTATAATGTCTAGATATCGTATCTCTGTATTCCGTTCCTATAATGTCTAGATATCGTACCTATGTATCCCGTTCTTATAATATCTAGATATCGTACCTATGTATCCCGTTCTTAGAATGTCTAGATATAATCTATGGCTCCCGTTCTTATAATGAAAAGATATCGTACCTATGTATCCCGTTCTTATAATGTCTAGATATTGTATGGATGTATCCCGTTCTTATAATGTCTAGATATAATCTATGGCTCCCG